GGCAGCCGGGGCCCCCCGCCGCCGCCCCCTCCTCCCCCTCCGTTTCCCTGCCCCCGTGCAACTCGAGCCTCGCTAGCCTGCGGCTCAAAGCCAAACAGCACGCCTCCTTCAGCTACCCCGCCGTGCCCGGGCCGCCTCCGGCCGCCAACCTCAGCCCCTGCCAGTACGCCGTGGAGCGGCCAGTGTGAGCCGCGGGGCTGTGGATCGTCCCCGAGGGCGGGGCAGTAACTCGCAGCCTCCCCGGACCGGGGTCGCCTAAACCGGCCGGTCCTCGTCCCAGGCAGGGTCTGATAGGGGTTCTCGGGCACCCGGGGAGGGGCGGCAGGCTCCGAAGAGGGCCTTTGCCCTCACAGCCCCGAGGGGTGCTCCGGCCCCTAAACGGAGACCGCGCCCCTGGGACTGAGGCCAGGAACAGGGACCAGCTAGCTCCCCCGGGGCCAATTCACCCGTGGCCCATCCCGCCTTCTCCAGACTTCCCCCATCCCGTTTTCAAAGATCAATGAAATAAACGTGCGCGGACTGTCAACGGCCTGATGATTCAGACTTGCGGCTGAGCCCTCCTTCCCCTCATCCTTCCCGTTGTCCGAAAGGACAGCTGGGTGTACAGGAACGGAGTGAGCCTCCAGGCTTCTGACGCTCCAGTCTCACTCCTGTCCTCCAGGATGGGGAAGCGGGGACTCCTGGAGGAGAGGAACGGTGAAGCTTGGTGTGACCAGCTAGTTGACGGAGATCGTCCTATGCTGGTGCCGCGACGCCACCTCGTGGTCTCAGGGAGGACAGCTGGTAGGTCTGGTCTCCGACGCTTTCTTTCAGGGATCTATTTTGCAAAAATTTAGGAAGCCTATGATTTTAGCACCTGTTTCTCACTGTTCCTTTCAGAGGCTTGGACCTCTAACAGCAATAAAATTCTAGTCTGTAACAGACATTTATTGAGCGCCTACCAGGCCTAGGATTCTTATTGAGTGTTTGTGTGTGCCTCTCCATCCACACACCCTCAGGGTTTCCCACCTGCGGATGGCCCTCAGCAGCCTTCTCCCAACACAGAGTCCACTTACCCCCCTCTGGAACCACAAACCCTCAAAATGATGTTGACCGCTTTAATTTAAAAAATAGAGCAAGAAAAGAAAGAGTTCTAAATATAAATATAAATAACTCAGTTTGAAGGGCCTCAGTCCTATCCCTTCCTGGGGTTTGGTTGGCCTTGACATTAAAGGCGGAAAGTTCAAAGCACGCCCTATTCCAAGGGTGACATATCTCGGTTGCCATAGCTCCTGGCCACTTTGGGGTACATGTCCCCTGGGGGAAACCATACAGGGAAGGTACCCTAATCATTCTCCCACACCTAACCCTTGGTGCCATGGGGGAAAGCCTGAGGCTCCATCTTTCTTTCCAGCTCTCATTGGCTCTTGGGCTTAGCTTTGCCCTTGGGCCTGAGGTAGGCTTGGTGGAAGAAGTGAGCAAATAGGATGAAATAGGTCCCATATAACATAAAGGACCAGAAAAAGTGTTCCGTTGTTGTGTAGCATCCTTTTTCCTGCCTCCAGATGTAATTCAGGATGCCAAAGATGGTTCCCATAACCATCTGCAGGATCTGCAAGCTGGTGATGACCATGGGAAGTATGCTAGGATGTTTCACTTTGGCAGCTTTCAGAGTGTAGTAGGTATACATGATGGAATGTACACCCAAGTTCATGGTCATGAACCAGCCACCTGAAGGCATTCTGTTCTTGAATCCAAAGCTTGTGAATAGTAGCACTGTGCTGTGGTGATACCAGTGCACAAAGATGAGCGGACGCTTTCGCAGGATGATGAAGGCCGTATCTCCTAAGAGATGAGGAGTCAGCGGCGAGTCAGCCGCCATACCACTCAGTGCTAGGACCACCCACTACCCTGGGTGCCGGAACACTGCAGGGATTCTCAGTGTGGGGAAGGGGGAGATATACTGTTGGGACCTAGAGGTAGGGAAGAGACTTTCCATGTGATGGGTAAGGGGACAGCACTGAGGAGCAAGTCATTGGGCACCAGAGACAAAGCCTCTATACTCACCGAGTTCAACAATCTTGCTGAGAACAAAGAGAGAGGACCAGAATTTGATTATGGTATCATCAATGTAGGTGCCAAAGCACACAGTTTGCTTGAGGCCCTGTGTGAACAGCACTGTTCCCATATACCTCCAAATCCTCACTGTGCCCAGGATGCTGAAGTGAGACAGAGCACAAAGCACACAGTTTGCTTGAGGCCCTGTGTGAACAGCACTGTTCCCATGTACCTCCAAATCCTCACTGTGCCCAGGATGCTGAAGTGAGACAGAGCACAAAGGTATGAGGCCCATTCCCCAGATGTGCCCATCCCACCTCAATCTCTTCTAAGCTCTGTCACCTCCTTACCCTTCCAAGGGAGGGTGGTTCCAGCTTTTGAGATCCTGGGGCCAATTCCATTCCCCAGATGTGCCCATCCCACCTCAATCTCTTCTAAGCTCTGTCAACTCCTTACCCTTCCAAGGGAGGGTGGTTCCAGCTTTTGAGATCCTGGGACCAATCGATAGATCTAACAACTATTCTCAGGGAGATAAGGGTTGAGAAAAGGCCAGTCAACATGGAGGAGAGGTGAAACTAAGTCAAGAACGGGGTTCTCGAGATGGGGGGACTTAGAAGAAATGAGTGGCCAGATAGGGAAGGGCATAGGAAGCAGGGCCAGGGGAAATTGCTGATGGTCTTTGAAGAGGAATTTAGGAACTAAGATACTTTTTTTTTTTTTTTTTTTTTTTTTTTTGGTTTTT